AAAGAGAAAGCCAACATTTAAATTTTCAAGATAATTTAAAAAATAATTACTGTTCCTTACTTAAAACTCAAAGCAGACCACAAAACAGTAAATAAATGAATAGCAGGTACTGTTATTTTCCCCAATAATGTTTTTTACTGTACATTTTGTAGCAAAAAAAGAAAATAAAGGAAAAATATTCTGATCACAGGGATGCAATTTTCTAAAACTCCAAGTAGGAAATGTGAGAAATACAAGATCAAGTACACAGCCATGTCACAACATATCTCTGCACCTTTAAAAAAAATATACATAGAGTTTTTTCATGTGTTATTTTCTCTGTGCCTTGCATACTTTCTCCACATGTCTTTTACAAAATCATAGTAACAATGTGCAATATCAGAATGGTTCCCAGCAACTGATCATTGGGAGCCAACAAATAAACAAACAAATGAAAGGACAGTTGCAGTAGCCACCAGAATGCTGTAAATCACAGTAAAGTAGTCAAGGACAATGAAGTCAGCTGGGTGGGCCAAGTGTATTTCCACACCCACAACAATGCTCCCCAAAAATGAATCTGAGAATCATTTTACAAGCTCTAAAGAACTCCTGTTCTTAGTTAGCAAGTACCCTAGTGAGGGTGAGAGACAGGAGGGCAGGAGTACACTGGGGACTAGGGAAGGGCTATTTGTAATGCAGGGAACACATGGAAGACCCCCTGCTCTGAGACGCCAAAAATTTAACTCAGTTTCCGTGGCTAGTCTGGAACATGTCACCTGAAATACACAAAACCTTACATTTGCTGTGATTCTACTGAAACAGCCAAGCCGTGTCATGGCAACTGTACAGACAAAGAGCTTTTATAACAATAGGGTGAAAACTTGTGCTTTCTTAATCAGCTGAACGGAGTGACAGGGTGACCTTTGCCAGAAGCAATTGGTCTCAATTGGCATTCATAATACAGAGAGTTCATGGGAGCCACTTTTTTTTCCCCTCCCTTTATCCTTTAATAGGAAATTTTGATTACTCTTTTTCCCATCCTTGATAGCAACACCCCTACAGATATCAATAGCTGCTGCACTCTGCCTTGAGCATTGACAAGTAGACTCTATGAAGACAATGGAAGAAAGAGGATGATTTATTAAAAATTTATTAGCCCCTAGATTTAAGTTTTCCTAGGACGTAAAGGGCTGGTATTGGAGGTGGGTTATACAGTATAACTGAAATTTGACCTTTGTACATATCCTGCTTTTCATCTGGGGGATTTGATGAGACTGAAAACAAAAACAAAAATGCATGGAAACATACTTTCTGCTGTGGGGAAAAAACAACCCAAAAGCAGTAACAAGACAAAACAGAGCAGAAATCATTAAATCCCAACCAAAAGCCCACTCAACAACAAGTATTTTTGTTCCCAGATGTCACAGTTAATACCATGAGATTATGCTGAACAATTTGCTATGATCTGTCCCTGTGGATGCCCTGCCTGCGCTTCTGAGAAAGTCACTTGCAATGACAACAAGATACATGGTAGCACCAGTCTTACATCCACAGAACTGTACTTCTGTGGTTAAAAGAAGAAAAGGAGGTGCCCTTTAAAATAGAAAAAACCAAAACAACAACCTTTTAAAATGAAATTTGTGCTGTTAAACCCCTTTTCAGCCTCCTTGCTTAATCTTCTGTGACGGTTCGCCAAGAGTCTGAGTAACTTTTTGAAAGCAATGTTAAATACAACTAGTAAATTCACGTATGGTTTAGTTGGGGCCAGACAAGAATGGTGCCATAAGTGCCTATTCACATTTCATGACCTTCTTTCTCTTTTAGTATCCGTGTTACTTATTTTTTTACCTATCTTTTTGGCCAGTACAACTGAAAACACTTCCTCCCCTCGCTTTCTGAATGCATGACCCTGCAGCAAACCACGCTTTATAAGACGTGGGGAGAGAAGGAGGTTGGGGGAGAGGGGAGACACTGATATTTACACCGTGCTTTCCATTACCCACTCTGAGCTCCCAAAAGTCCCCTTCGCCCCTGTTAGGTCATTGTCATCATACTGCAACAACATGCCATTCACCGAGAGGCTTCTCTTTGTCCAAATGTTTGTTATCTTTTTTGGGTAGGTGCAACACTGAGATGTAGCAAAGTCCCCCATGTCAAAAGAATGGCTACGTTTAGTTTTGCCCTCTAGAGGCAACATGAGGAGGCTGCGAAATTTGGACTCTGGCTCGCCCAGCAGTGGCTCTTTGTCCGAGTGGCGGGCCACTGTGGAAGTTCTGGAGTCTGTCATCTCCTCCTTTTTCTGACATTTCAGTTCCAGGGAGGCAAAAGCTCCCATTAGCCGGTCAATATTGTGTTTTGACCTGGAAGGAGGCCTCCACTTACTGGACAATGTGCCCTGTTCACTTTGGAGGCTATAGTCATCACAGTTACGGCTATTTGCAGAGCTGGAGGAAGAGGAGATGCTGCTCCGCGCAGACTGACAGTTAAACTCCATAAGTTCATTTCTCACCACCACTTTGGGATTGACTTGGGGCAAGACTCCGTTCTGAACTGGTTGTGCTCCATTGGTCTGTGAGTAGACATTGCTGACGTTAGACATCTTCCCCTGTGAATTGTTGCAGACCTTATAGCGGACCATGAGTATTACAATGAATACCAAAAGAGTTGCCACAATGATGCCCCCAATGATCAGAATCATGGTCCCACCCAGGAACTGGCTGTGCATCGACTGGCACTGAGGGTAGTCTTCTTTGGTGAAGAATTGGGCGCATCCCACAATATTGGTGGCGGTAAGGGTCGTGGCCGTGTCATCCCACATTGCCAAGACACAGAGGTCATAGCCTGTTCCGGAAACAAGGTTGTTTACGACAAAGGCTTTGTTTGTAGCTGGAATCATCCTTTAAAAAAAGAAAAGAACAGAGAAAAAAAAAATAGGTTACTCTTGACTCTGAGGGAACAGAGAGGAGAATAGACATAAGAACAGTGTGGTGTTAACCGTGCTGGGTACGGGCAGAGAGAAGTCAGAGCCATAAGAAGATTCAAACAAACATTCAAGCTTCCCAGCTCCTGTGGGTCCAGAATCTGAGCATTCAATAATGCACAGGTTCAGAGGGCCATCTCTCAAATGTGCAATAAAGGGAATAAGAAAAAGCAGACCAAACTAGTCTGGGTTTTTTTAATCTGTGCTTGCGTGTGCCCTAATCTTAAATATCTTCAGATCTGAACAAATAACTCAGAATAAAAATATATGCCTACAAAGAGCAGTTCTTTCTGAGTGTGCAAATAACCCTTGCACTTGCTGAGTCTGAATCTGGCAGTTGTCACATCGCTTCACAGGTGCCTGAACATTTACTGTGTAACACCAGCAGGTCGCTTACCTTGTGAAGACAGGGGGTTACATTTAGTTTTCGCATTCCCTGAGAATGCAAGGCAGGTAGCCACTTCACTCCCTTTCTCCATTCCCCCTCCCACTTTCCCCATCCTCCTACTCTCCACTGTGGAAAATGTCTCCTAGAAATGCATCTATCATCTTCTTTGCCAGAAATTTCTCCTTGCAACCACCTTCCCCTGTGTGAGTGAAAAAGAAATACTGGTGTTGGCAGTACGGACTGTGGAAGTGTGAAGAGAAGTGGGAAGATGCAGGGATGGAAAGAAGAAGGTTTCTTTAAAATAAAAAATGCTACTCAAATATAAATCCATTTTCAAAAACCTAAAAGCTAGGCCCAAGCTGTGCTCTAGGTTTGGTCATTCATAGATATTATACTTTGTTGTCACAAAACTCACACAACCATTTGAACTCACATGATATTAGAGTTTCAGTAGCATTCAAAATTAGCAGATGGGAATGAGCATGGTCTACCACCACTTCAAACTGGTGAATATTGCAGCACATTAGTGGAATACAGCGGAGAATCCCAGATTCGGTGCCCATTGGGTAGCCAACAATAAAACCAAAGAGATACCCCACACATATTTCCCTTTACTTCCACAGAACAGGCTTGAGTGAGAGAAAAAATCTGAAATGAAACCCACCCCATTCTGACCTAGAGCTGCAGATCTTTAGCACCAGCAACAAGGCAACCCGACAGGCACTTATACCACACAGCAAGCTGATGTGACTGTCGTTGGGACTGTAAGGCCTGGCCAGAGGAAAAAGGCATGCTCTGTGTGAGAGTGCTAGGCTTTCTTAGCCTCAAATTGTCATCACAGCTAGAATAAATTCCAGCTCTGTAGAGGCCCTTCTGTGCAGTGGGAGGGAACTGGCCAGAACAGAGAAGCAGCAATGTCAAGGCACTGCAAAGATCATCTTCTGGTCATGTTTACATTTATGCATTCATGCCACTTGCACAGCTCTTTAGTCTGTCCACAGGCGAGGATGTAGACCCTTTTTAAAAAGTGAACAAACACACACAAAAATTCTGTAAGGAAAAGCAATATCGGTGAGAGACACCTGGAAAAGAAACATCACCTGGCAAGTTTGCTCAATGTTATATTTGAGATTCCTGCCACATTTATCGTCCTAATGGAGACGTTCTGCACAGACATAGGTGAGCTATTCAGGATGAGCCGAGAGGTCATAAAGCAGCCCTCCTGGAAAACTCCAGACGTAGGTGCTATAATGGTTTCTAGTAGTCAAAATGGTTGGTCTCAAGCTATTTCTAATTGCTCTTCTCTCCCTGTGGCTCTGAGAACAACACACTATCTGGGACAATGTCTGCACTCTGATGAATTGTTCAAGGAATTTCGTATGCACACACCAAGGCTAATATATGGAATAACAGAATACGATTGATCTTCAAATGTATGATCTTTGAACTCTTGAACAGTTTCACCAATTGCCTCATAACTCCTTCTGTATCACCTAGTGCTATACTCCACTTTCCACCATCACTCCCAGCTATGTGCTTAAAAAATTCTGCAGTAAGTCCTTCAGAAATTATTTCACTGTGAAACCTCATTACAAATAAGTAGCACTATTAGCAGAAAGAATAGTCAGCCCTATAAACCGGGTCTTGGACTTGGGTCACAAATCCAGAAAAACAGAGCTACAGCACCATCTGTTAGAGTGGTTCATCTTGCTTTGCACAGATGACATACTGAGAGACCTCTATATTCTCTCTAAGCAAACAGTAAACAACTGGGTTTACACAGCATATAGCTGTGCATGTATCTTACGCATATAGAAATACAGTCTTTGAGCCTAACACACTGTGCCAATTTGTATAGGGTGAACACTGATAATTTCAATCATTTACAACATCTTTTCTTCGAATATGATTGCACACAAGCTTCCAAGCAAATGTAACTGACTGGAATATTTGAAGGACTGGCAGATAGTGGTTGTGGCATGACATCAAAGCCCACCCATTTTGAAATATGCAGCAGTGAGGCCACAACCAGTCCTAAAGCTTGGCCAAGTTAACTGTATTGAAACACACCATAAAAGCTCATCTTAGCCTTTAAAAGAAACTGAGTCACTTCTAAACTCAATCAGTCCTGGAAGCTACAGCTGTGATAATATTGAGACTAATAATAGCTTTATAAAAGATCACAGTTGCAATCTCAAATACGGAAAAAGCAATCAACTCTCCATATACATCTAAAATGAAGAATTTTGTATGTTTCCATAAATAAACTTCAAATGTTCTGGTAAAATATTCAAATTAATGTTATTGTAAAAGAACAGCTGAGCATAGGAATAAGTGCCAAGTTTAAGAGTACTAGGAGTTAAGTAATTAATCTCAGACTCAGTTTTCTAGCTTGCAGGGAAGACGCTCTTGTTTTCATGAAGTTGCCAAATTATGAGAGCATTTTGGCATTCCCCCATGCTTTAGCCCACCCTCCACAAACATACTGCCAGTCAGCTATGATGGATGACATCTCTTAATGTTCCCCACACCTAAAATCAATGCAGACACATTTTCACTCTCAGATATTGACGACTCTTTGATTGTCCCCAACACGAGTAGATGCAGGATGCCACTTCAATCTTTGCTTTGCTGCGCAACAGGGGGAGTCTCTTCATGGCTGCTCTGTACATCTAGCACCATCAGTCAGGGACCACTGTGCCCTGCCATTGGGGCTCAATAGCTAGGAGCTGCCACAAAACTAAAACGTGCTGAGTCAGAGATCCTGCAAGACTTTTTTCAGTGAACTCATCAGCTAAACACAAAAGTTGGTTTCAGGTAGCAAGAGTCTATAGCCTGGTTCGTTGGATATCAAAACCAGCTTTCGAATGTTGTTAGCTTTTCAAACTCAGAAGATCCTAGTGCTTGCTTGTTAGCCCTCAGATAGCAAATACACTTAATTGCAGCAGTATCTTGAGGCAAGGAGCCCAATATTGTCCACCTGCTCTTCAGGGCAGCATGATCTTGCAGAGATGCTTCTTGCCACAAGAGGACTAAAGAGATAAATTTGATACTAGTTTTTATTTAGGGAAAAATGGAGTGAAGTTTGACTAACTGTAAGAGGAGATCAACTAGCAAAACACTTGCTTATTTTTAAACTAATGATAAGTTATGACAGATTTTAAAGCATACAGTTTAAGAAGCCTAGGAGCAATAAGAACTGGGAAAGCAAACTAATGCTGAAGTATGATAATGGTGTAAGTATAAATGTAGTCCTAACCAGGACAACAAGAAATTTGAAAATCTGCGTGCAGAAATTTCACTGTCCAGACACATAAGACATAGCAATTTCTGTCTTTTTCCTCCGGTTTATTTTCCTTGCTGTAGGAGGAGCAGGCAAACCTCTACGTTAGTGCCAGGATTTTATACCTGATTCCTAAGCTAGTTTCTGAATCCTATCGGAAGATCAAAATACCCCATGGAGAATTATTCAGATAAGAAAGTTGTTCTGACTTCCCTGAAAGTCTTGCCTCTAAGGAAAGAAATGAGCATAGAGGTCTCACAACTGACCTTCTTAGTTTACAGAACAGCTCTCTTCTCTCACCCTTTGGCATAACAGCATCACTTATTGGAAGAGGTGGAGACCTATGGCCAGGATTGGGGGATGACATAAGCATCTGAAATACAACAGCAATAGACAGATGCTCCTATGAGAGTTTATGTGTGATGAAGAGCTATGAATCTGAGATGAAAGTTTGCAAGGCTTTTGCAGAAAATACATTCTCTTCAATCCAAGGAGATTTACATCTCATTTTGTGAAAGCACCAAAATGAGACCAGGAGACTCTTTAAGAACAGGAAGGATAATGTTAGCACCCTTTGAAGTCAACCTTATTTTCTGCCACCACCACTAAAAACTCCTTCTTCTGTCCTTGCAGACAACATACGGAAAGCAAGCAATTTTGTAATTAATAACTTCAGCGTGTGATGATATTAAGAAAATTAGAAAATAAATTACTTAGAAATGCATGAGAAAAAGGTTTGCTACAGATTTCACTCCTAATCCCAGATGCAAGTGAGCATTGAAGCTTGCAGGGAGTGAATTGTGCTGAGAATTTAGGAGGCCTGAGTTTTATTCTCTACTTTATCACTTACACTGATATCGGGCTCTACTTTATCAGTAACTCTCGGTTCCTGAGAAATCATTTTGCTGTACCGTAAGTCTCCTCATTTATAAAATGGGGATAATGCCAGAAATCTCCTTTCAAAAGAGGCCTGTAGTGTATGGAAGGAAATTAGTAGATGTTATGATTACACTGTAATATATAAATGGGTTCTTTTCTTCTTTGTAGCACTGGGGATTAGCAGGAGTGAACACTACTGGTTAACACTGTGGTTATGCAAAATAGACAAATTAGAGAAAAGACAGATTAGGCTAATTGGCTAGGCAATTCTGTTGCTTTTCTGCACTGCAAGAGTTTGAGCCTGAAACTGCTTTAATCACAGAGCTTGCAGGGAGCAGTCAAGGCAATTCCTTTGTAAAGGCACTTG